GGAGGAAGCGAATCAAGATCACCGTGGCTACTGTACCAAGTGCCGAATCACGTCCTCGAGAAGAAGATCTCAAAGACCATGTCAAGAAAGCATGGGAAGAAGTGAAAGTCGATTTGACAGGTGAAGATGATGACGACGAGCTGATGCAAGATGATGATGACGTCACCATGAAGAGTCCAGAACAAGAACCTCAACCAGAAGAGGAAAATGATGATCAAGCCTCGAAGAAGGGCGACATCAACGATGAGAGAAGAGACTTCAGAGAACAAGATGAGGTCGATAAATTTCTCAATGAGGAAGGAAAACCAACTGATGAGAACGACGATGAAGAAATAGAGGTCGATGAAATCAACATCGAGGAGTACGAGGCTGGAGAAGCTCATGATGCAGTGATTGAGTACCCCAAGTGGATGAAGAGGATTGAGTTTGGATCAAAGGTCCTACCAATCGAGCCTTGTACAATTGGAGATGCTCAGCCGGAGCTCATCAAAATCCTCCTGTTACAGATTGGGTTGCATATCGTCAGGATCTACAGACTATTCCAACGGAACTTCTGTGGAGACATCGAGACGGCATGGAAACACTTTCAACAGAACCGAAAATTCAGGATGGACTTGGATTCAAGAGTGCCATACCTAGGTGAGGATGAAAATGGTGAACTCATCGAACCAAATGCACAACAGATGAAAGAGCTTTACCAAGAAATCGGCCGACCACAACAAAAGGACGACATCGGGGAAGAGGGATTCGTCAATGCATACTATGGGGCGGTGGTACTCAAACGACTTCTCGTATATACCCTTGAATGCGGCTACACATATGAAGACTTGCAAAATATCTTCTTCGATGAAGAGATGGAGAAACTGTCGAAACATGACTCAACAAGGGACGAGATGAGAAAGACCACAGCCGCTCGCGAAGCCCTTGACCGACAAGATGTCCTGGTCAGAAGAATCATTGCAGGTGCATACAGAGTGAATGCTGTTTATTTCTTCAGGAACGTCGACTTTCAGGACACGATCACACTGAACCCAGTTGACATTGTGTGCGCTCTTCGACCTCCACTTCGAAGAATTTCGGTTTTGCATCTGATCCTTCAAAATGGCCGACAATTGCCACGACCTCTACTCCAAAGACTGTATGATGCAATCAATGACTACAACCACATCAAGCAGCGGGATGATCAACGACCAAGATGGGGCATCCACATGACAGAAGCCCACCTACTTGCGATTGCTGATACCCCGATTCCTGCCGATCGTGAACGTACTAACCCAGCAGCTGGCAAATCAAAGGCAGCCCCGAAGGCAGCACCAGCACTGGGCAGAGTGTCAAAAGCGAAAGCATCATCATCAGCAACATGGAGAACCGTCGAAACTGCTCCTCCGCCAAAACAAGCTCCAGTAACCCCGCCACAGAAAGGTGGAAAAGACCAAGGAAAAGGTGGAAGATCTTATTCACACCGTGGTGGCGACTGGAACCAACATGGATACTATGGATGGGGATATAGATGATAAATCGATATGACCTCTGCATAGGTCCTGATTGAACCTGGCGAAGCGAGGCAGCAATCATTGCTCGAGATTCACCTCTACTTCATTTCGAATGATTTCTGAGAGGACTCTGAGCCGGCTAATTTAGAACCACATTTTTTTTAGAACATCATTGCACGAGACGCTGAGTTTCTACAGCGGTCTACATCTCAACCGACGAAGGAACGGGAAGGTAAACTTCTAGTTCCATAGTCATCTTTGTGTTTCGATTTTTTTTAATTCGCATGCTTGAGTGGGATTCCATGCTGGCTACGCCACATCGGATGAACCTCAATGCTGTACACCGACTACGTCGTGTCAGCATGCACGTGAACAGAACCTTTTATTTATTTTTGGTAGAGATCGTAGCAAGCCGCCATGTAGATTTGAAGTTCTGAACGGACTTTAGCTCTCCATAATTCAATTGATGAACAAATGCAGACGTAGCGGAATGATTTAAGGGCCACTCCTTTGCGCGTGACCAACAAAGTTGGTCATGCGTGGGGGGTGCGAATGGGGACTAAACTACAGTACCTCACATGTTCCCCGGTATATATCCCTTAATGTTCCGGGGCCAGAAGGTTGCATCTAATGCTCCTTTTGGCTCAAGATTACTGCAAGTTCCAGGAGAAAACACTGCCATGCCGAAACTGCAATTCCCGTGTCGTCGTTGGTGAGAACGTTCACTTCTAGATCATCCAAGAACACATAATCGGGGAGATAACCTCCGATTCACAAGTAATATCCATTATAGCTATACTACTATATATGTGTATCTTGACATGTATATATATATATGTATATGTACATATCTATTGACATGTATATCCTAACATTATAATACTAGAAATATATATATTTATATTATTATATATATAATAATATATATATTATTATATATATATTATTATATATATTATTATATATATATATTATTATATATATATATATTATTATATATATATATATATTATTATATATATATTATTATATATATATATATATTATTATATATTATTATATATATATATTATATATATATTATTATATATATATTATTATATATATATATTATTATTATTATATATATATATTATTATATATATATATACATATACGTATATATCAAAAATGATTGAAACGTATCGAAAGTTTCAGAATTTCTGGCACACTGGATGCCAGGTTTCAGCAGCCAGCCACTTGCCTCACAGGAAGGCGACAGGCGCAAGTGGAAGCAGGAGCCCTGGATGTAGGCAACTAGGCGGCACCGCAGCTTTCCCTGCCATTGCGAGCCCAGATACCCAGTTTCTCAGAGGACATATCTAACATATCAGGTAGTTTTTGACCCCCTAACTGTAAGTGGAGTTGGATTCTTGGTAGGTGCGTACGCCCGCTGCAGGATTCCGAGCTAGCTCCCTTGGCAAAATTGAGCTGTCAGTTGCTCAGCCTCAGAGATTAATCGAATCAATCCTTAATCATATTTCAAAATATTAAAAAAAAAACTCGAACCCAAGGGATCTGTCAAATCGATACAAGGCCCTGATGAACTTAGAAGCGCCTGGTGCACCCAAAGTGATTCCAGAGGATACAAGGCGTTACCCTTCAACACATCCTCATACCGCAGGTTCCAAGTGATGCACGCGGGCTTTGCTGCCTGGCTCCAAAGACATGGCAATATCCATGACTTAAGATGGGAATGTGGCTAGAATGGGGGGATTCAACTTGATTGAACCATCCTATATTTGGAGATATCTGATATCTCTGATGTCATGGGTGAGACGATGTCAAGCCATACCAACTTCTTCTGTTCAGATTCCACGCCGCGTGTTACGCGGGTAGCTACGCGGGTAGCTCCTGAACATGTACTGCGTGCCCGTGCTGAGACTTCCAGAACTTACATCCCATCAAGCTGACCATGCATCCAAGAAGCTGCTGCAGGGAGGAAGGACTCAAGAATCTCTCCATTCCTGTCCAAAGATTCCAAGAGGCTCAAGTCTTGACTACGAAACGCATCGAAATGCTATATATTTACGTGACTTGATGTGAATTGAATGTTGAAGGTCGAGACATGCTCGAAGCATTGAGATGCTGTCCGTTTCTCACCGACCTTGGCTTCAAATTATGTGCCGCCCAAGATGTAGCCGACCGCCGCAAGGCCTGACCCAAAGTACATGTCAACCCTGTATGCTTTCAGTTGATCATTCCATACTGCCTGCAATACGAACATAGACAGACATGCCAAACGCTTTAAACATCTTTAAATGTGCATGTATATGTGTGTGTGCGCACCATCTTGCCGAAACAAGTTGAAGAATCTGTAAAGTCGTCATAAATCCTGCTGTCACCAGACCTGCAGACATCTGACCTGCCGCGACATGATCGCTTGCATGTCCTTGGTCCAAATAGGCAAAAGTCAGAGTGCTGGTGAATATCACAAGTTCAACTTTCATTCATGAAGTTCACATGCTTTCACTGCAAATCAGATGTTCTTTTGTTTTTGGAGAGTGTCCTTTTAAAAGAGCAACCAGAGACTTACCAGACTGGTCTTTGTAGCATCTACTCCAAAAGATCTCTGTTGCTAAAGTTGCCTGCAGGAGGCATGTGGAATTGGTCTCTCTATCCCTCTCAAATGTGAAACTGAGAACAAGGCTGCCAACTCTGAACTTTCACAAGCAAGGCTGGTGCAATATGAAGCTTGGGCAGAAATGTAGAGCAAGGCCCGTGCAGCGAGTCACATCAATATGAGCAGGCCCAAAGAGGGATATGTCAGCTGCATCAACAATGCATTCATAAAAATTGAGAAAATAAATGAAAATAACAAGGATATGACCCCCAGTGATATGTACAGCATCCGAAATCATTGCCCACGGATTCTCCTGCACGGCCGAGGCGAGTGACGTGGCTGGTGACTTGCGCGACATGAAAACATGGCCTTGGACGTGGACTGGGATGAGTTCCATGGGAAGCTGGGGATTAAGCCAGTCATCCATGGATGCCATGGACCAATGAATTCGCATTGAAACCCATGGCTAAAAAGCACTGGAAGGCCATCATCCCACGAAACCATCCGGCGACCGCTAAATCCAGCTGAGTTGCTCATCCGTATCCTGGCTCAAATGATGGTGACCCTGTAGAAAAATGGAATCATACTTGGCCAATCTTGGCCATATGATCATTGGTTTGGTTGTGTACCTATGATTGAAAGCCGCATCCTCGTTTTTTGGCCTTTCAGTCTGAGTGATCAAGGACCTTAAAATTGAAGGCAATTTCCATGAATCTGGAGCCAGGCCTTTTATGAAACTCTAGACCCTGCAGGCCCTGAACATGTTGAATGTCGACATCAACCTTTGCCAAAGTTCCTCTTTCTGGCACATCTCACCATGATGGGCACTTGTAAAGCTCGGCACTTCTTGATTTCACCCGTGTTTGTGTAAGCTGCTCCACGTGTCCTGCATGGTCTAATCTTGAGTAGATTCTGCCTAACTGCAGCGTAACTCAGATTGCAAAGTGAGGACAAATGAGACCTCAGCTGGATATAGTTGGGACAAAAATGACAAAAAGAGGAGCTGTTGCATTTGGTTCCTCATGATCCGTTCAAAGTCAATGGCTGCAGGCTGTGGACAGCACATGGAGGTGGTCAAGATGGTCAAGCTGTCGAGTGGCCATAGTGTGAACATCCAACGTTTGCACGGAAAAGAAAAACCGCCTGCTGAGTGTTTACCCATTCTGATCACTATTCTATACTATTCTAACATACCTCAAGTTGTGCATACACAGGAGGTTCGCACATGATGTCAAGCTCACACACGTTCTCGAAGTACCTTGGTGAGTCGTCGAAGATACACCCACAAGTGAAGCAAGAGACGCGTGTTGTGACTTTATGACTCCAGATGGTAGCTGGCTGTGTATTGTCCAATGCCATTGATGTTCTTTGCACATGCATATGTACATGTGTAAAAGCATAAACACGTTTATGTAAGATGTTTTATGTGTGTATATCTATATATGTTATGTATATATATATATTATTTATATTATATATATATGTATTATTTATATGTATATATATATGTATTATTTATATATATATATATGTATTATTTATATGTATGTATATATGTATTATTTATATATATATATTATTTATATATATATTGTTTATATATATATATATTGTTTATATATATATGTCCTATATCTGTATGTCTTCATATAGTGTTTCAAGGCCAAGCTGCTTGTCCAGGGTCTCCACCTGGCAAAATCCAGCTGAGTGATTTGATGCCTGTTTGGACAAACACCAGGATATTTTGGGCATCAGCTTAAAAGTGAGATCAACAACCAAAAATACCCATGGTGAAAGGTTGAAAAAAAATATCTGAAGCTGGGTGAATGCTTGCCTAGAACCCTGTCTGGAAAACACAAAACCTTTTGGGACCTTGACTTTGCACATTTACCTCCTTCAAGCACCACCCTGACAAAGACCCAAATGTTTCAGGCAGACTTTTTGTCCCTTGCTGACCACCTACTGAGAGAGCATTACAAGAAATACCAGCTCTACCCGACTCTAGCCTCAATGCCATACAAATAGTAAGAGATGATACCACTCTAGCCGCTATGAGCAACCTCCTCCCTATTTAGGTCTTGCAGCAAGAAAACCCAGATTGTTTGGAACAGCGGGTTGCCCCTGAGCTGCTGACAAGGGTGTGGATGAACTCCAGAATGGCAAGTTCATTGCAATCTTCATCATTGTCTATGCCGACCTGAGACCACACCCTTTCAGTGTCATAAAGCTCAATTGATGACTCGACAAATGGGAATCTGCCATGTCTATCCCTGTCTGTGGATCCAATGCAAACTTCACAAACGAGGCACGATGAAGTACAAGGAAGCATATCGCCTCAAACGATGAAGTACAGGTCACGTGTCCCTTGTTCATCATGGCAATGATTTGGTGAGAAATTAACATCATTTCCCGCCTGTAGACGACGCGATAGTCCCTGTATTCTACAAAGGAGCACTGGCTTTCACTTCGCGACAGGCATTTGCCTTAACAAATCAAGCCACTAAGCCAAAACCCACATCTTATCACAACTCCCCCTGCATGGATTATGATCATCTTCAGGTCAGAAAGACTGTCTGAATTTGTTTTTCGGTTGGGCTATGCCTTCAACCCCAAAAAAGAAAGTTGACTAACTCAGCTGACGCTTGTTAATATCCAAGCTGACCAGTGAATGGAACAACATGAGCAGTTTACCTATTGCGGATAGTCAAAAGAGATTCCCATGCTGCGCAGGTTTATCATTACGATATCACAAATAGCTAGCTAGTAGCTAGTTTGATCCCATAGAAGCATCAACCAATGGAGGCTTTGGGCGCTGTTCACATCAATCAGTCCTGGGTCCACACTTAGTCACTAGGTCTTCAAACGAATCAGCTCGCCCTCCAAAGTGACGCGTTCGCGAACGCTCAGAAACTCGTAGTACTGAGCCTTGATTTCCATCTCACGGGTCAGTTTGCTGTCGGCTCACCACACGCAACTGCAAAAAGTCTGAGTCTGCAGACCAGTCGGGTTTGGCCTTGCTTGTTCACCATCAAAATGAATTTGATCATCGCCTCACCCAACTCATCCGGGGGTGGCTTCAACCCGTTCCAAGAAAATTGGTCCATTGCTTGTCATGATCCCAAAAAGACAATAAAATACATATATATATATATACATATGACATGCATTGGAGATATAAGACGTGTACCTATACATACATTACATACATATCTAGATACATATTATATATATATATATAATTATATATATATAATTATATATATATATGTACAGTATATATACACACACTTACAATATATATATATATTATTTATTTATACATATATATATATATTATACATACTTGCAATACATATGAAAACATCAATATCTGAAACCACCTACTGTGTCAACTACGAGCCATTGCCATCTCTGAGTCTCACCAACCACTGAACGCTCCAATACTAAGCCCACCACGCCACGCCGGGTCGGGCTGAAACCGACGACCCAGGTGCACTCAGAGCTGGCCCATCTATTGGGATTGAACCCACAGCAGCAATCAACGCAGTTAGAATTCTTCGATTTGATCCCTGAAGCTGCAAGCACCATTCTGGTTTTATCCATCATTTATCCATCATTTATCCATCTTATCCACCACTTGGATTTGCTGAAGGATCTGAAGGCAACAGGTTCCCTGTAGATTCCCCAGTCCTGGTGGATTTGCCAATGGGAAAATAAGAACCGCCTTCAGCAAATCTAGACTAAAGAAATGAGCCTTTTTGAAAATCGTTGGGGGTCGACAATTTGATCATATTTGAATATATTTGACCTATAAATCCACAATACAAATAGACCGGCTCCATGTAGACAAACATTGTGACATCACCCTGGCCAGGTGTTTGTACCCACAACCTTCGACGCAAATGCTTTGACAAAAACGAGATCTTCCTGTCCTCAACCACAAAAAAGCTCCTGGTATTGACACATATTGCCTAGCCACACTGCAGGGACTGGTCTGGCGAGACAGAGCTCACAGGTGCTGCGTCGCAGAAGCTTTTAGGTTCAAAGAAATCTAAGGCGCCTCAATCCCAGACCCAAAGATGGGAAGCACATGGATCTCCTCACAGATCTGGGCCAAGGTCTCAAATTGCATTAGTATTGTCACTTCAGTCACTTCAAGTGGCTGATTCAATTCCATGCGGTGGTTGAAAGTGGCTCAGATCCTCCCACGCTTTGATCGCGCCACTGCTTGCGGCGCTAGCGGGGCTTTGCAAAGAGTCGACTTAGCAAAATCAGCAAATATGGGTGTGCATATCTAGGTAGGTTCTCATCCTTCTAGTCGATCCTGTGCAAGGAACCACCACCATTCAATTTTGGTCAAGGCCAGTTCGCCTGTCACTGAATAAAGTGAGAAGCACGCTTTTTGAAGTCGTTCTTGAGAGGCAAAGTTGAAAGTTACCCTCCGGTAACCGGCAATCAAACATGGCATCTGGAAATCCCCCATTTTCATATGATTTTATAAGGGCCATTGCCATGTTTGATTACCAGAGGGTAAAGCTCACCTACTGCCCCAGAAGCTTCACTATCCATAAGAATCATTGCGTTAGCCCCTTAGGGGCCGGGGTTGGCCAAAAATGGCAATTTCAATCGGTCCACCTTTGGAAGTACAGAGGCTATGCTCTTTGAATTGAGCAGCAACCAGAAAGCGTTGTATCAGTCCCTCAGCCTCTAACTACTCAAGAGAGATTCCGAATTGGCTTAACACCATCACTTAAGTTACCTGTAAAGTGTTGGTATTATCCATAAGAGATCAAACATTAACAGCAGCTTACCGGGCTTCCAGTGATGGCCGATGTCATGTCTCAGTAGATGTGAGACAAGACTCCCACTGCGCCTGTCATCAAACCACCTGCGGCTACGAAGTTCTTTAAGAACATCTCACGGGTCAGCTTCACTTCCTTTACAAAAAACCTTGGTGTTGCTGCACAACTGCAGGCTAGTGGACCCACATGACGTGGGTGATTTATAACTTATAACATCTTAAAACTTATCACTAACCCATTTTTTTGCATTGCATTGCTGCCATCCATATGGGGGGCTGTGCCGCATGAAAATAACTAACCGACTAACCCATATTTAACTGGAGATATAACATGATATAACTGGGGGCATTCCACGGTTTCACTGCGTACCCATGGGATACCCAGAATTTGGCCACTGGTGAAAAACCATCCAATTCATGGGAAATTCTAACCATACCTGAGATTCCCGGAAATGTGATGCGTCACCGGCAGGGGGAGTCTCTGAATGGTTATACCGTTATACCAACCTGAGGCCCCAAGATCTATCACTAGTTTGATTTCCAAGAAACCTGCTAGAGCACTGTATTTCACAAAATGTATTCCACTGTATTCCACGGCTCCAAGTGTCCTAAAGCTGTCTGCCTGACCGTATGCAACTTTCTGGACTCCAGGGACTCACAGTGGGGCGGGGGTCCTGAATTCCCCATCTGCCTCTTGACCCTAAGCAGCCAAAAGTTCACGAGAGATGTGTGTCACCAGATGTCTCAAGAAATCCATGTTTCACCAAAAAGGAAAGCCTGTTCGAGGTTCGAGAGTGAAAAGGATAAAGATAGGCCTACCATGGGCCACCTGGCGGCCACCTGGCCACCTGGCGGCCAGCTGTTTTGAGTCCCCGACCCTGCTGAGCTGTCCGTGACGTATCGCACGAGGTATTGACGTTCTTCGTCCAGCGAGTCCTCCAACCACAACTTGATGCATTTTTTCCATGAAGGTCATTGCTGCACACCAAGAGAAGCAGCAAAAAAAAGTCAGCGAAATTGACCATGTGGTAAACCCAATGACATAAACCTCCAAAGTTTGGCGGATTTCTGCCACCAATTTCTGGTAGCTTACAACCAATACATGATTTCTGAGTTCATGAAGGACTGAAATGCGATGCCGTTTTGGGATATTTTGGGTGGATATGCCTTTCCTGCTTTCAAACCACGTCCACAAAATGACACCCGTTGACACTAATAGGAATAGAAAATGAAAGATGTTTGAAACCACCAACCAGTAGGTTGTTGATGAACAAAGCCATTGCTATTTGACATCCCCAATCACTGACTCATGCGCATTTTGAAACCACAAACCTGCAACTTTGTCCCAACCTCGGTAGGGATCTGATTCACAAAGGCAGGAATGACTCTGCACTTCTCGGTCAAGTTCGCACCATGAGCACATACCTTACGTGGTGCAGCAAAATGAATTGCTGGCGTCGGTTCCTCAACTGTCCAAGAACAAGTTAAATAATTATCCCAATGAAATGTCAATCCAACCATTGGGGATTCAACTCCAACAATCCAACAACCATCCAAAGCCGATTTCTAAAGTCCGCAAGATGGGATTGCACTGTTCGGTGATTTATGGTGATGGTTTTACTGAAGAGAAACTCTTCAAACGTTCCGGCCCCATCTTCAGCATAGCACAGCTATGCCATCACCCCACGGTCTCAGTGTCGAGCAGCTCTGAGGTTCAACAAGAAGAAGACCAACAGAGGAAGGGCATTGACCCCTTCCAGGATCAGCACTTCCGGCTTCAAGCCAAGCTGAAAACTCGCGGTGACCGCACTGGCCAGGACGTAGATGAGTCCTCTGGACCCATCAGATGTTCATCCCCATTGGTCCAGTCTACATGACCCCTGGACTCGCGGACCCATCATGTGATTTTTCCATCAGTTCCATCTCGTACACTCACCTGGCCACCTGGCTGATCTCAAATTCTTATCTGTGTCTGTCTGAAATGAAGATGCCGGGCCTAAATTATGGTAGCTTTCATTGGGAAATGATTCAAATGAACTAACCATCAATTTTTAGGTTATACGGTTATACCGTTATACAGTTATACTGTACCATTTTCAAACCCTTATCCCAGATCAAACCAACACCATTTCCCACCAATTTCTGCCAGGATTCCAATGGCTCCACAGGCTTGCGAGGCAAGGAAGCTACTCGCAATTCCACGCCCGATGCACTTCAACAAGGCTTGCCTCAGGATGCTGCTATCACCAATCAGTATATAATTTTGGGGGGTTGAGAAACCCCTTGGTTTTGTGGTAGATAATCTAGATAACTCTACTGCGAGGAAATGATCATCTCAATTTCCAACTGGCAGGGGCCAATCACAGTACCACACCAGTGTTTGTCCAGATTGATCAATTCGATCATGTCCTCTGGAGAATCTAGTCATCGGTCATTCTTTTGTGTCATTGGCTCCATGTCCAAATGGATCTGCTTCGGGGACAACGAGTCAAAGGGAAAAAAATAAGCTGCTTGGTGGAAATGCCATAGAGTGGTCGGTTGGCTTATGGTGATGTTTATGGCTATGTTTATCAGCGACGGTGATAGAAATCTCTCCAAATAGCAGTATACCCCACCGTCAAGAGGATGCGTCTGCTTCAAAATTGTCCTTCTCTTACCTCCAGTCCGTGCGAAAAGTGCCAAACAAGGCTAGGCGCAAACAATTCCAGCTGTCCACCCCAAGAGCAAAGTCTGAATCATTTAGGATGCTGCAGCACCAACAGTCCAGGCTTCTATCCTTGGTGGAAAGATACCAGCACCATGTCTGACTGCACATAGATACAAGTCTGCTCAACAGCTTCATGCACTGTAGTGAAACGAGCATAAGTTCTTCATAGCATGATCTTTGATCTTCTGGATTGGTTTGGGGGGAGTCTTGCGGGAAAACCGAAAACCCCCAATATTATTCTGTGGTAAAGACCGTGGTGCCGTGCATGTTTCCCTTAAAGATCCTTAAAGAGATCCTCGGCCAAGAGGCTAAGCCCAGAAGGATATGAGATTGCACGTACGCAACCAGGGTCACCAAGAAGCTGGCAAAGCCAAAAATCAGCACCGCTGCTCCCTGAGGACATGGATGCGATCAAAGCTAGAGCAACTAGTGCAGCTGCAGCGGTTCCAATGTGTTCCAATGTGCAAGTGGCTTTTTGTGGCTTTTTGCAATGTCGAGAAAATCCAGTTCTGCCAAAGGAGCATTCACCGTGAATTGGATGGCCTTCAGTGAATCCTTAGATCAACTTAGATCATCCAAATCACCAAGTGAATCATGGCCTTGAAAGGTGATCATGGCCAAGACTCATCAGCGGAAACACCGTTGTGCCACATATCAATACCGCTGCTGGTTGCAAAGCACAACCTCAATCGAGCAAGACCCCCAGAAGATATGCTATGTCAGTTATGTTGCGTCTGCATGCTTCTGCAAGAATGGAAGCTTCACCTCAAAGGACACATGTCTGCCTGCTGTGTATCCTTTGGAGTGTGTATGTCCTTAGCCTAAAGTCCCTCCTATGGTGGGAAGACTTTATATACACACCAGTTGTTGTGTCCAAGTTTCATCATCACAACCCAGGCAACAACGTAGATGCGCCCCTCTGTTCCAGAGATCTGGCATGGAAGTAGTGGTGAAAAGATCGCTACGCTGCAAGACTTTAGGGAAGTGGGATATAAATGGGATATG